ACGTTCGGTCCAGACCTTTCGGTCCTGAATGGTCCAGACCGATCGGTCTTGGTCCAGACCGATCGGTCTACGCATGCAGACCGTTCAGTCCGGACCTGTCGGTCCAACCGACTTGCGAAACCCTAGACCGATCGGTCCAGAGGACCAGACCGATCGGTCCAGGCGAAAACGTGATCAGATCTCGTTTTCGTCGTTTTTGCCCCGTTTCAGACCCGAATTCGACCCCGTTTTCGCCTGCGAACTCAGAATTCGAAGCTCTTGCACATATGCAACAATGAACAGAAAAACTACTCTAGATCCATAATCAAATGCCACTATTGCCACGAGGTTGGACACTGGCGTAGGAACTGCAATCACTGTTGGGTTTTCCTGGGATCTCAAGAGCGAATCTAATTCCTAAGAGATCAGTTCTAGGGTTTGCGCAGCGGATGAAAAACAAAAATTTTGATGAAACCTTAAAACCTATCATGCATGATCTTCTAGAAACGTTAGAACACTTACCTCAATCGATCTGGGGCCTGTATCAATCGAAGAACACGTCTGATCACTGTAGACAGGAAGAATACCTTGCCCTCTACACGTATCCACACGGCGGAAAGGATTCCAACGGTTGGAACTTGTCTGCTAGGACTGAAGAACGCTTTCTTCTTTACGCAAGGGTTTCAGGGATCTTTCTCTTAGCTTTCTCACTCTCCAAACCTCTCCCTAGGGTCTGAAAATCGTGCCAAAAGAGTTGGGTGGCGTTCCCTAAAGTTTCTTCCCTTTAAAACCCTAATTAGAGCGAGTTTAGTAAATCCCGACGTCTGGACCGATCGGTCCAGACCTGGACCGATCGGTCTGGAGCTTTTTAACGTCTGGACCGATCGGTCTGGAACAATTTCCGGACCTCACACGTTACCTCTGGACTCACGGTCTACGTCTAGATTGTTCGGTCTGGGTTAGCTGGACCGATCGGTCCAGACCTTCTGGACCGGTCGGTCTGGCCTCCGCTCCACCGGGATTTTCTCGTCTCTTTTCGCGCATTCGTCCTTTCCTGTGTGTGACCCTGTAAGCTCATCCGATATAGCAGTATAACACAAAATCTCTTATTTCGGTTACACAAGTCATAGGTGGTCTCTAGCAAGACACTATGACTACCTATCTCGAATAGAGTTTGTTCGTGATCCTACAAACGCCAGTGATGATTCCGTTTGATGATCCTTTTGTATCATGATATCATATGTCGAATATAAGGCATAGACAAGCCACCTTATTTGATTCGACTGCTTTCTCGTTCACTGAGTTCGACTGTGTGAAATAGACGACGTTCGTCTATAGTGCTGCCACACATTTCTACAGTCTCGCTCACACGAGGGGCTCAGCGATATCTCTCTCTTTTATGAGAGGTACAAATCCCGTCTTGACTATCTACAATCCAGCACATGATTCGTTTCGTACCTGATACACGCCTTTATAGTCCTCCTGTTACGCAGGACGTTTGACGTAATCAAAGTACGCAATTCCTCATGTTGGATTCCGTAGATATCTCAGGTCTTAGGATCCAATCATGGAACCGTCATATGAGATTCAAGTCATGACGCTAGTCCATGTGACAATCTCATGCGGGTCAATCCAGTATTCAGTTCTCCAACGAATACCTATGATTGTGATCGTATCCAAATACCTATGATCATATATATGATCATCAATCACACATCATACTAGTCTTATTATGTCATCATTCCTGATACATACCTATGAAGAAGAAGAGGCTTGCTGAAGCTTCATCTTCAAATATCAACGTTATAGAAGTTAACGTTTTATCTTCTTCATCTTGGGTATTGGATACCGGATGTGCCTCACACATTTTTGGAAATGTGCAGGGTCTGCGAAGAAGTAGAACGTTGGCGAGAGGTGAAGTGAATCTGCGCGTTGGAAATAGAGCAAAGGTTGCTGCATTGTGTGTTGGCGACTATGATTTACTTTTATCGTCTAGACATGTTTTAGAATTGCGTAATTGTTACTTTGTATCTGCTATAAGTAGGAACGTCATTTCTATTTCTTGTCTTGACTTGGATGGTTTTGGTTTTCGATTAAGAATAAGATTCTTTCGATATATAGAGACAATGTTTTATATGGTTTATTTAACGGTCTTTATGTGTTGAGCAATGAACCATCTAATCTGATCTATAACATCGATACGAGGGGTTACAAGGAGAACTACTTAAACCCAACCTACCTTTGGCATTGTCGTCTTGGCCATATAAGCGAGAAACGCATCGCCAAACTCCATTCAGATGGTGTTTTGGATCCATTTGATTATGAATCAATGGAGGCATGCGAATCTTGCTTATTAGGTAAGATGACAAAGAGTCCTTTTACCGGAAAGGGACAACGTGCGGATGAACTCCTTAGTCTAATACATAGCGATGTATGCGGACCAATGAATACACCAGCCAGAGGAGGTTATTCTTACTTCGTTACTTTTACCGACGATTACAGTCGTTACGGTTATGTCTACTTAATGAGGTATAAATCTGAAACGTTTGAATTGTTCAAGACGTTCAGAAACGAAGTAGAGAATCAACTTGGCAAGAGTGTTAAGACACTCCGATCTGATCGTGGTGGTGAATACATGAGCCAAGAGTTCACTGACTATCTTAGAGATTGTGGAATCGTTTCACAATTGACTCCTCCCGGAACACCTCAGTGGAACGGTGTTTCTGAGCGGAGGAACCGAACCCTATTAGATATGGTTCACTCTATGATGAGTTAGATTGATCTTCCAATATCCTTTTGGGGATACGCTCTTGAGACTACTGATTATATACTGAACAGAAGTCCTTCGAAATCGGTTCAGAAGACATCATATGAGTTATGGGTTGGGAAGAGTCTCAAGATGTCTTATCTCAGGATTTGGGGTTGCGACATTTACGTGAAACGCCAACTTTCCGACAAGTTAGGACCCAAATCTGAGAGATGTTTGTTTGTTGGTTATCCCAAGGAAACGAGGGGATACTACTTCTACAACCCCACTGAGAACAAAGTGTTTGTTGCTCGAGATAGGACTTTCTTGAATGAGAATTCGTTTCCAAGAAAACTAGTGGGAGTAAGATTGATCTTGGAGAAATCCAAGAGCCACAAACTGAAGCTGGACCTAGCGAAATAGTTGAAACGGTTCAACCTATCTCGCAACACGTTGTGACTTTGCCTGTCGTTGATGAACCTCAGATACTCATTACGACTATGAGATATGGGAAATGGATGTCAAGACCACATTCCTTAACGGGAATCTGCTTGAGGATGTGTACATGACACAACCCGAGAGTTTTGAAGATCCTGAGCATCCAAGGAAGGTGTGTAAGCTTCAGAGATCCATTTATAGACTGAAGCAGGCTTCAAGAAGCTGGAACCTGCTTTTTGATGAGACAGTTACAGAGTTTGACTTCTTACAAAACGAGGACGAACCATGCGTTTATCAGAAGGCCAGTGGGAGCGCAATTGTGTTTTTGGTCTTATACATTAATGACATCTTGCTCATCGGAAACGATATTCCTACTTGACAAGACGTTAAGTCTTGGCTAGGAAAACGTTTTGCGATGAAAGACTTAGACAAGGCTGCCTATATCCTAGACTCAAGATCTATAGAGATAGATCGAGAAAGCTAATTGTCTAAGTCAGAGTACTTACGTGAACAAGGTGCTAAAACGGTTTAGCATGCAAGAATCCAAGAAAGGATCCTTGCCGATGAGACATGGTTTAGTTATGAGCAAGAATCAGTGTCCAAAGACTATTGATGAGCGAGAACGCATGGATAGAATTCCATACGCTTCGACGATAGGATCTATCATGTAGCCGTGCAATGTACTCGGCTAGATGTATCGTTAGCATTGAGTCTAACGAGTAGATACCAGTCTGATCCAGGTGAGCCATACTGGATAGCCGTAAAGAACATCCTGAAATACATGAGAAGGACTAAGGATGCGTTCTTGGTTTACGATGGATGTGAAAATGAACTCATTGTAAATGGTTACACCGATGCTAATTTTCAGTCCGACGTGGATGGTTTTTGATTGCAATCAAGTTTTGTGTTCCTTCTGAACGGAGACGTATTTAGTTGGAAGAGTTCCAGACAGGCCACCGTTGCAGATTCCACTACAGAAGCTGAATATATTGCTACATTGGATACGACAAAGGAGGCTGTTTAGATCAAGAAATTCGTTGGAGACCTTGGCGTTGTTCCTAGCATTGCAAACCCCATTACATTGTACTGTGACAACAATGGTGTGATTGCGCAAGCCAAGGAACCAAGATCACACCAGAGATCCAAACACGTACTCAGACGGTTTCATCTTATCAGAGAAATCGTAGACAGAGGAGATGTGGTTATATGCAGAGTATCGACAGATGACACCATCGCTGACCCGTTGACGAAAGCCTCTCCCTTCGTCGAAACATGAGTGTCATGTTAGGTCGATGGGGATTAGACATTTAGTTGATTATGATTAGAGCATTTGGAGATTGTGATGTTTTATGCTCTAGACATGATTATTCGCACGAACACTTTATTTATTGTACTTGGATTCATTGTGATGAATGGAAGTATGTTTTTCTTTTGATTATTATTCAAATTGCATGTTATTGTTTAATAATGCTATCCACGTATTATTATTGTAATAATACTAAATTTCCTAGTCTGTCGTTAATGTGAGAACATCAACGAACAAAGACTAGTATGATGCATGATGGATGATCATAGTGTATTAGATACGGATCATGATCATAGTGTTCATTTGTGAATGAATAGACGCATGAGATTGTCACATGGACTTGACGTCATGACTTGAATCTCATGTAATACTCCGCTTTGAGTCTTAATACCTGAGGTCTCTATATGTATCCGACGTGAGGAGTGATACTCTTTGACACAGTCAAACGGCGGAATTGTAAAATGACGACTATAACGGCTGTAGTTGGGAATGTTATGAATCATGTGGAGGGTAGTAGAGAGCCGAGATGGGATTTTATCCCTCTCTTATGTGAAGAGAGAGAGATATCGTTGGGTCCCTCGAGTGAGTTGAGCTGAAACGCGCGCAAACAGATGAAGAGTCATCTAAAAACGTGATGAGATGACTTGTTCCATTCTCTGTTTTGACTTATGATATCGTGTGACAAAAAGGACACAAGTGTTGAATGTTACTTGGCTCGTTAGATCACACTAACCTAGTCTGACAAGGGAGTCATAGTGTCTTGCTAGAGATCACCTATGATTATTAGTCCGAAATAGTCTCGGAACTATGTCTGCGTTGGACGGGCCTACAGGGTCACACACGTAGGGCTATTACTGTTTTCTGGAGCGTGCTTGGGAAGGTCTATTGTGATAGACTGAAACTCGATCATGAGTAGAGCAAGTGGGAGATTGATGGATATGGTTAGAGGTGTCAAAACGAGCCCGGCTCGCGAGCTGGCTCGTGGCTCGCTGGAAAACGAGCGATCTGAGCCGTAATTTTTTCAGCTCGTTAAAAAACGAGCCTAACGAGCCAGAGCTCATTGAACATGTGTTCAATGAGCCTGGCTCGACGAGCTGGCGAGCTCCTCAACGAGCTGGTATTTTTTTTAAAAAATAAATTAAATTTATATAAAAAAACTCTAATATAATTTTATATTAAATTTTTTTATATCATTTATATGATATTATAAATATACTAATTATTATGATAGTGATAATTGAAAATATTAAATGATATTGGTGTTTTATTAAATTTTTATGTATTTATTTAAATTTATAATTATATTTAAAATAAATATAAATAAAAAATATTATATATCTCTGGCTCAACGAGCCGGCTCGTTTAGATCGGAAAACTGGCGAGCGATCGGAGCCGAGGTTTTTCTGACTCGTTAGAAAACGAGCCTAACGAGCTGAGCCCAAAACGATCCGAGCCAAATAAGCTGAGCCCAAAATGATCCGAGCTGGCTCGTTTGACACCCCTAGATATGGTGCTCTGGCCACGATCAATTTGCGAAACTGATTAGAAATCCATTAGATGGGTTTAGGTCGCCCAATGGGCCCATATGTTTATTAATGAGGTTAATGGGTTTGTTTTCTCTTACTAGTTAAGTGAAGGTCCATTAGACCCATTTGGTTTAATGAAACCCTAATCCTTTTATAATTATGTTTAGGAAACATAATTTAGGGTTAAGAAAATAAGAAGAGATTTTTCTCTCCCTATCTCTCTCTTGGCCGTCGTACTCTCTCTCTATCGGGATTGTCTCAGTTTTTCGTTCTCGGCCTCTAGATCGTGTTCTAGCAGACGCAAACCCGTGAGTGTAGACTAGCTATAGAGAACGTTGGATTTTAGCGTTTGTGACAGGTCTCTAGATCGAAACAGGTTGGTATATCGATACCTTTATCATTATATGCAAGATCTGTTGTTTGGGTTTCGTTTAATCTATTCCGCTACCAGAAACCCAAAGTTGGAATACTAGAAACCGTTATGAACGCATGTTTAGGGATCTCCAAAACCCCAACATAGACATCTCTCAAAGCCTTGTTTGAGAAAGTATCCATCGATTTTTCTATACCTTGCTCTTCGGGCTTGCTTCAAACCGTACAAAGCTTTTCTTAGCTTCAATACGTGATCTTCTTTGCCTTCTACTTCAAATCTTTGAGGTTGCTCCACAAATACTTCCTCCTCAAGTTCACCATTCAGAAATGTGGACTTCACATCCATGTGATGTAACGTCCACCTCCTTTGTGTTGCAATCGCAAGTATGAGACTGATGGTATCGTACCTTGACACATGAGCAAATGTCTCTGTGTAATCTTCACCATACTTCTGACTGAACACTCTTGCAACCAGCCTTGCCTTGTGCCTTTGTATGGATCCATCTGTAGCAGTCTTGAGTTTGTAGATCCAGTTCACAGTGATAACCTTCTTTTTCTCGGGTCTTTCCACCAACTCCCAAGTATTATTCTTCTCAATCATGTTGATTTCTTCTTCCATCGCTTTTCTCCATTCTGGATAACTTTCAGCCTCTTCAAAGCTTGTTGGTTCTACATAACACATGAAACATGTTTCCATCATGTCTGCAGAATAGTCCAACACTCTTGGAGCGACTTCAAGTATCTCCTTCATAGACCTCATCTTCGGATTTCTAGGTTCTGGTGAACTCCCTTGTGGAGTGTCTTCTCCAGTATTGGTGGATGTAGAACCACTTGGTTCTCCACTTGAATCCTTATAGAAATCTGGTGCAGGAACTGCAATACCTTTTCCTTTCTCTATGCTTTTCCTCCAATCCCATGTTTGACTTTCATCAAATGTGATATCTCTTGCAATTGCAACTCTTTGCTTCTTTGGCAAGTAAACTCTGTAGCCTTTGCTTTTACTACTGTACCCAATGAGTATGCCTTTCTCCACTTTGTCTTCCAGTTTTGTTCGCCTTTCATCTAGTACATGGACATAACACAGACACCCAAAAACTTTTAAGTGATTTAGTGAGGGTTTATGTCATGTCCATGCCTCAATTTGGGTTGTATTCTCCAATGCCGCCGAATGTAGTCTGTTTTGCAGGTATACTACAGTGTATACCGCCTTCGCCCAGAACCTGCTTCCTTCAACATCGCTTGTGCCATCTCCATAACTCTTCGGTTCTTCTTTCACTTACTCCATTTTGTTGTGGAGAGTATGCCACCGGGAGCTGTCTCTAGATACCCTGACTTTCGCAGAATCTTGCAAACTCTTGCGATGTGTACTCTCTTCCTCGATCTGATCTGAGTGTCTTGATTTTTTTTTTTCAGCTTGGTTCTCTACCATAGCCTTAAACTTATTGAACACCCCAAATGTTTCTGACTTGTTTTTCAGAAAGTATATCCACATCATTCTTGAGTAATCATCGATGAAGAGTAAGAAATACCTGCTTCCATCAAGCGAAGGTATTTGCATCGGGCCGCATATATCTGAGTGCACTAGCTCCAACTTCTTCTGAGCTCTTGATGAAGATGATGGAAACACGAGTCTTGATTGTTTCCCTAATTGGCATGCTTCACACACCTCATTGTAGTTGCCAAATTTAGGGATTCCCTTCGCCATATTCTTCTGTAGTAACTTTTGCATGTATGAGTTACTACTATGCCCGAGCCTTCGGTGCCACAATTGAGCTATCAAA